ATCATTGGCTCTTGATCATATGCTACCTCTTGAAATGGTTGAACATTAACCATTTTCTTTTGGTACAGTGACGACTCTGTGTATTCCTTCCATCTTCTTTGGATGCTTTCTGCATCATTCAATAATTTGCCCAGAGAATCTTTCAATAATGAAAATCAAGGCTTGAAGTTTTTCTTCAGTTCCCCCAGCTTGAGAAATGCTGAACGTGTTTTCCTTTTTGGATTTCTGAATTTGAGTCACCCTAAATCAGCCTATCAACAGTCATGGAAGCAGCAGTCAAGAAATCAAATGATGTATTGCATTAGGCAAATCTGCTGCACAAGACCTTTTTCAAGTGTTGAAGAGCAAAGGTGTCAGCTTGAGGACTAAGATGCACCGGACCCAAGCCATGGTATTTTCAATAACCTCATGTGCATGAGAAAGCTGGACAATGAATAAAGAAGACCATAGAAGAACTGATGCTTTTGAGTTATGGTATTGGAGGAGAACATTGAAAGTGCCATGGGGTGCCAAAAGAACAAACAGATCTGTGTTGGAAGAAGTGCAGTTAGAGTGCTCCTTGGAGGCCAGGATGGCCAAACTTCGTCTCTTATACTTCAGACATATTGTCAGGAAGGAGCAGTCGCTGGAGAAGGATATCATGTTTGGTAAGGTGGAGGGTCAGAGAAAAAGAGGAAGACCCTCAGTGAGATGAATTGGCCAAGTGGCAGCATCAATGGGCTCAAGTGTGGCAACAATAGTGAGGTTGGCCCAGGTTCGGGCAGTATTTTATGCTGTTGTGCATAAGGTTGCTATGAGTCGGTACCAACTCGATGGCACCTACCAACAATAGCTAATCAGCCTGTGGAGTCCTGCAGGATAATGCACTAAGTCACATGGTTGGTTTAAACCACAAGGTTGGTGGTTCAAATTCACCAGCTGCTCCTTGGAAACCCTATACAGGGTTGCTATGAGCAGGAACCAACTCAAAGGCACTTAACAACAACAACAACAACAAATCAACCTGCAGAGCTCTGTTAGTGTAATGAACAGAGCTGCCTTTCAAAACCAGTAGCCAGGAACATTCTGGTGGCCACCTACTCAGTCCTTAGGGGGATCTCACACCAGCCAGCAGGAGAGATCTACTCCTCAGGCCACTCTTTCTGGAAAGGGGCCTGGCCACATGCCTCAAGGTGATTCCAGAGTTCCAGAGGCTCCTGGAGGATCATCCCCATGCTGTGGCAGATGGGGAGAGGGTTGGAGAGCACTCAAGGGAGAGCAGCAAGACCAGGGTCCATCAAGACATCAGTGTGTGATGGCCAGGCTCAGGCACCAGAGGGAGACTTTGGATATTTTAAGAAGATGTTGCAAAGTTGGGGACTCTGCTTGTCCAAATCTTGCTAAATCTAAGAGTGGCACTGCTGTCTACTGTGTGCCAGACCATGTGACAGGTGCTAGAGACACAGAAAGGCAGAAACTCTCAGCCTTCGAGGAGCTGACATACCAGAACCAGTGTGACAGAGAACAGGACAGAGAATGGTGGCCGGTGAAGACAACTTGGTTGAGTTTTGCTGAGAACTAAGGCAGTAACTGGAAATGGGGAGGGGGTGGCTTTTAAGAAGAGTGCAGGTTTTGTGTGCTGAGGAATAGATCTATGGGGCAGGGAGGGTAAGGGAGACACTGAGCTTCCTGTGGGGTTGCCCCTGCAGGTTGGCTTTGGAGACTTGAGCAGGGTTTTGGCACATCTGGGGCAGGGAGGGCTTTGGCCAGCACTCACGTGTGTGTCAGCCACGCCAGTGGCATCCTTGACTTTGCCGAAGATCACCTCCATCTGGTACATGCTCCAGCGACTCCGCAGTTCCTCCTCCTTGGCTCGAAGGCTATCCTGGATGACGTCTTCAGACTGCAGCAGCACGTGTTCACGCTGAGTCTGCTCAAACGGTGAGGTCAGGACCAGGGTCAGCGCCAGAACAAGATGTCTCAGAGGCATTTGGACTGGGTCAGGGACAGGGCATGGTGGGAAGAGGGGCCCAAAGATGGGCAGGCATGCAGGGGTCAGGAATGCAGAATTGGTTGAGGGGAGCAAATGAGCTGAGAACTGGGGGTGGGGGGGTAGGGTGGGGGTACCTGAAGTCAGATTTAGGGCAGGTGGCAGAGTCTAAGGGAGAAGGCTAAGGGAAGGGGACTATGAGGGAGGGGTGGGGGTTCAAGGATGGAGGCGGCTTATATTGAGGGCGATCTGGAGATGGGGGTGGAGTCAGAGCGAGGGTGGGGCCAGCAGAAGTATCAAAAGCTAGGAACCCAACTAGGGGTGTGGGTAATGAGGACTGGGCCTGGGCCACACATCTGGGTGCACCCACCTTGCGTTCCATGCGCTCATTCTGCAGTTTCCTCTCCTCAGCTCGCTTCTTGCTCTCGGTTATGTAGCGCTCTCGCTCCTTGCGCTCTCGATACACAGTCTCCTCCAGATATTGCAGTTGATTCTGTGGGGTGGGCAGGGGAGCCGGGGGTGGGGGGTTGGGGGGCGGACTGGCTGGCACCAACCACGGCTATGCACCAGAGCCAGGGGCCCAGTCCCTAGCTGGCAAGGCCAGGCCAGGTTACAGGATTCTGGGAGATATATGGGAAGAGCCCGGGGAAAGCTGGGGGTTGGATTGTGGGGCTGGGATCCCAAGGCAGTTAGATGGGAACCCCGGGGGACTGGCGGGAGGGCACCTTGGCGATGTCCCTGGCGTTGAGAGCCTCCTGGTTCACTAAATGCAGCTCTGTGAGCTCGTGTTTCGTCCGCACCACCTCAGCCTCCATAGTATCCAGCCGGTTCTCCAAGTTAAGGCTCTCCTCCTAGGGTGGGGCAGGCCTGTGACCCGGCTGTCCCCATCCAGGCTTGACCTTCTCCTTGTACCTCCCCTCCCATACCAGCAGTCCTTGTCCCCACCTGCAGATAGGCCTTGAGCTGCAGGTACACATTGGTGATGTATTCCGCCTCCTCCGCCTTCATCCGGGCCTTCTCCAGGCGGTTCTCCAGGTTCCGCATGGTCTAGAGGACCATACAGCTGGGCTGAGTCCCTCACCCCATTCCAACCCCAGGTGCCCGCTCCGTAGGACTCACTGGCCCCACCTTGGCCACCTCTGTGTTGCTGTCTTGTGCCTCGGCCATCTCAAGCTCATGTAGGCTGTGTTGCAGCTGGAGTTCATCCAGCCGCTTCTGCCTCAGCTCCACCTCGTGCTGCAGGGCATTCAGCTGCTTCACCTTCTCACTCAGTCGATAGTCCAGGACCTCCAGAGCCTGCTGCAGGGAGGGAAGCAACACACCAGCCTTACCCCACCGTGTTCTTAATCCCTTTCTTCTCCCATTTTTTGGCCTTTAATGGCCTTGGCCTCCTCCTAGCATCTGGTCCACTTCCTCCTGCGGGTCTTCTTCTCCTGGGGCTTCCAAGACCCCCTCCTGGGTTTTCCATCCACCTCCCTGGCTTCCCCCTTTCAGCCTCCTTTGCCTTTGGAGAGAGGACCCCAGGCTCAGTCCTTGGGCCCCTTCACTCCTCGGTTCACACTGTAGCTCTTGGTAACCTCATCAGTTTCAGGGTTTTAAAGGCCCCCTTGTACACTGAGATTAGGAGTCCTTGTAACTCTTGGTTAAATATAACAGGAACACATGTACCTTGTAACAAATTCAACATAATTGACATCTACAAAGTAGCGAGGGAACCCTGGCTATGCAGTAAACTGCTAACTGGAAAGCTAGTAGTTTCAATTTACCACTTGCTCCAGGAATTGATGGAATAAAAATTGAAACCCCTCAAGAAAGTGAGG